TCTTAAGTTTTATTTTCCAAATTTACATTACACATATGTGTATATTCTAATACAACTGTATTAAGGTTCTGTATAAAAATAATGCTGTGGGCCCCAATATAGCTATTTCCAACACATTAATACGAAATATTATTATTGTTTCCGGCCTCGTATAAACGGGAATTTCTAAACAATTTACATAAAAATTTATTGCATTCGCCGGAGTACAATAAATTGGATTCATGTATATGCACACAATTAAAAAAGTCTAAAAAATGTGCATAATGGTGATAAATATTATATATATATCAAATTATTAAATGTAATAAAATTCATGAGACTATATTTAGGTACAGTTGTACCTGTTAAAATCTTTGACAAATATGTTTTATATATATATCAAAGCGTATTCGAAATTTTCTTCCACGCCTTATAATAAAATGAAATTGGAAATACGAATACCTTGCTAGGCTCTACTTATTGGCATTTTCACTTTATGGCGTAGAGTTTGGCTCCCCGAATATTTTGTTTTCACAATGCCAAAACAAACATGCTCATGTTTGTTTTAAAAATTCTTACGATGAAACTTTTCTCATTTGACACCACAACAAATGATCGTACTTTATTTTTATTATACTACTGTCATTTTGTATAACTGTATATGGAAAAGGGTGTCTATATTATAATAAAAATACAATACATAAGTAATGTGTTATAGAATCTATGAACTACCAAGGTAAACTTTGTCAAAAGTCGACTATGTAGGTACCACTATATCACCTATTTGGTTAAAGTGCGATATAGTATTTAATCCTTCCTAATGGAATTTGTAGTACTGTTTATTATTTGTAATTTTGGCGACAGTTACCACTTACCATCAGACAGCTTGTTTGTCAGTTGCAGAAAAAAAGTCGTGGTCTATATTTCATTTGAATGATTGTATGTACTGAATTGATATATTAACTATCTAGTAGTAGAAACAGAAGTAAAATATTATTCACATATATAATTTTGTTTTGGTAAAAATAATATCTGTATTGTGATAAGGGCCGTAAGCTAACAGCAACATATGCTACCGATATAACAATATGAATTTCACGGAAACAAAGAGAAATGGCCTCTAGTTGTAACCCATCCATGCACAATTGGTCTTGATTTAATCTATATCTATATATACACATATCTATTCCTTATTTTTATATTTATCTATATATAGATATTATACTCGTATCTCATAAACTTTTATAAAAAAAAATTATAACTTAGTTCATAATATATGTCCATCCTAAATATAATACATCAGTAGACATATTTCTGACAGGAATCTAAAGCGAACTTTAAAATTAAACGAGCATAATAGATCTCTGATGGTCACAGTGCTACAAAGCTGTACTGCTTGATGATAGCTAAAATAATAAAAGTGATAATAAATACTGTAATAATAGCGTTGTTCACGATCAAAAATATTTTTTATAAAATTATTGACTGCAAAGAATATATTATATATTTACAGTATATAATATAGTACGCATTAGATATTTTAAATTAGCGTTCCATTCATAATTTGAAATAGAAATAGAAATAGAAATAGAAATAATCTTTATTCAAATAAACTCATTACAAGCACTTTTGAATAGTCATATTTTGATTCTACCACTCATTCGGAATGCAGATTCATCACAAGAAGAATGAGCAAGAAACTTGTGTGTTGCTCTTTTTAATAGATGTTTTTTTTTTTTTATATAAATAATTACAGTATACAATCAACATAGAAATCGCTACGCACTCATTATTAGTATAATCAGATAATATTGTCAGTGCTATGTATTTAAAATTTTTCTAGAAAAACATTATTATCGTTAACGAATTCTTCAATTTTATAGTAAGCTTTTTTGCAAAGGAAGTGTTTTATTTGACATTTAAATCTTTTTTCTGGCAGATAACAGACTCTGGTATTTTATTGTAAAACCTTACGAATTGCCATAAAACGAATATTTGTTATATATTTAAGTATTAGTAATCACTAACTCTTTTGAAACTGTCTATATTCTTCCTGGCATACATGATATTTTCATAAACGTATTGAGAAGCAACGGTGAGGATATTTGATTCCTTAAAACACTCTCGCAATGACTCCCTGGAACCCATGCTATAAATGGAGCGAATGGCCCTCTTTTGTAAAATAAATATTGTATTTATATCAGCTGCTTTGCCCCATAACAAAATACCATACGACATAATGCTATGGAAATAGCTAAAGTACACAAGTTTAGCCGTTGAAGTATTATAGATTCCATGTTTACCTGATCTACAACTTTGATTACTCCTAACGACATAATAATATACTGTTGATACTGTCGTTCATATGTATATAGTGTAGTTAGCTCTAACAAATGATATAAAAATATAATATTAAACATTACTAAGTAATGGATTTTTTCGGCCATCAGAGCAAATCATAAAACATCAGTATTCGCATATTGGTAAAACTATTCGCATCACTAGTAGAATCGAAGATTGAGATAAAGTTAGGGGATAGTGCGGAAGTTTTTGCAGGAAAAGTTCGGGCAGCTGCGGCGTCGAGTCGTCACGTAAGCCCTCAATTACGAAACACTGAAGTGGTTTTCGGCGAGCTCTGATCCAGATAAGTTCATCGATTCTATCACCATTATCGGTCTGTAACGTTCTATGAATGAATGAGAAATATTCGTGAATGCAATTACGTGAGTTAGTCAGCTCACTTGTTACAGCTTGTTCAGCTGGATGCTGATCGTGTCCGATGGAGAATGTAGGTAATTATAACTTATTGGGATGGACGAATAAAATAAAATATATAGACAAAAAACTTTCCGCTATTGGGTTAACTAGAGTTAACAGTCGACAGTACCATTAAATACAACCAAAAATTAAACATATTTTTTTAAATATATTCTTTTATTCTATTTCGTATGTAAAACAGGTTAAATATACGAACAAAATTTAACAATATCTCAAGCCTGAATATTAAGCTACGTAAAATTTTAATTAAGAATATCTTTCGATATCTCTCGTAGTAGTATTTTCGTGTGTCTATTTTAATGAAAATTCTAATCGGGTTATTATAAAATATAAATTAAATATTACTTCGGTATAGTTTATATTAGTGATCTCCGATTTTTCCATAATCTGCTTCAATAGTATCTCAGAACATACAGTGTAGATGCCTGAGTAATTCTCTTACAATATTTTGTGATCCACATATATAATAATATATATAATTCAATGGACTGTACACATGTTTTTTTTTCGTTTCACTGAATTTGCTGTACGAAGAGTTAAGCACTGACATTGATACTTCAGATTAAGATTATTATGTGTATAGTAGTGAATTCAATGCTGTATATACTGTATATAACAATTGACAGATTATAAATTAATTTCAGAATGTAAATTTATAAATCTCTGCTCTTGTGTATTTATAAATTTTGTAACTAATGAAACTATAAACATGTCTACATCATTTTTTTACATGGTTACATGGAAAAATTAATAGTATAAAACTATTATTATATATAGAATACTGTTTTACTACCAGATATAAAAGGTATAGAAAATAATTAAAAATAAATATTAGCAAAAAAAAAATGGTTGTCGCAAAAATATGATTTTGATATTAAGGTTGTTACAGATGTTTTTTTGGGAGTCTGAGATTTTACTATTACGCCGACTGAACTTGTATGCCTTCATTAGTTATTCAATAAGGTAACCGTAGTAAGCTCAGTGCGGAAGTTGAGCAATTAATAACAACGAACCACTTTTATCTTACAGTTCCCTTGGGAATGTTATTTATTAATTACTCTAACAATCCCTTAGCCTTGTCGTGACGTTGCCGGTATTGTTGAATTCCCCAATTGGGTAACGCCTTTTAGATAGGGTAACGGAATGTTTCTGGTATATTTAGACAAGTAAGTATTAGTTCCCATTTGTTATCTCATAACACCTGAACTACTTGACAAGTGACAAATGCTGTGTCATTAGAGTTGTCTTGGTGTTATTATATATATATAACATTAAAAAGATATGCAATGCTAATGGGTATGCGTATATTAAAAATTGATTATGCATCTTAAGAATACTCTTAATGTGCGACTTTCACCAACTGTTCGGCTGCTATAGATTTATTAATATCGTTAGATATATATAGCCAATTCGTTTTAGGAAAAATAAAATGTTTGGAAGAGGGGACCTCCAGTTCCCCCAGATTTGAATGTAATAAGCAGATTAATTGGTACGACGTCAGATGATATCTTATCTCCCATTTCATATTATTCAGTAATAGTAGGTAGTGTATAATTCGGAATTTGTAGACATCTGTCATGTATGCCAAAATTCTTTGTACATTGTCTTTAAGGTACGTGACTAAATATCTACGAAAGACAGTACACATTCACAAGATACGCACGCTTACTACATCATTACATTAATCACTTGACCCTGGGTGTGCATGTAAAAACTTTTGTCCATAATTGAGTCTCAGTATTGATCACTATGTTATTATTTTATCCATGTGGTCTTGATCATCGACAATGTTAACTCTGTTCTGTAAGCATGTATGTAGAAGCAGTTTACAATACTGAATTGCCAGTGGGTCCTGAGTTCGAATTAAGATTTGAATTGATTTGAATTTACTAAATGAGTAAATTACCGAGGGGTTGTCTCATCATATTATAACTGTAATTAAATATCGATTGCAATCCACTAATTATATAAATGTTGTAAGAATAAGTAATGATATAAATTAAAATCTTAAATTAATACTTCTTATTTACATATTTCTCATTAGTTAATTTAACACGTATAGAAAATATTGTTCTTACTGTAGAAAGCCATTCAAAATATATGTTTACATGAAGTGAAAAAAGAACTTTTATTTTATTTTTTACTTATAAACGTTACCATTTTGTTTAATGGTAATATTTATTATTAAACAAATAGAAGACTGAAGGATTTACTAACTACATATAACCATTATTTACAATTACCTGTCATCATAGACGAATCCCGCATCCAAGGTATTGTAATATAAAAGAAAGGCCAGCAGAGCGCTGGCCACCATCACCCAGTCCATGATGGTTAGTGGTACAGCGCCTACATCAGTGCTGGATCGTCTCACGCCTGCAACAAGAACAAAAAAATGTTATTATCTTTTGATAATCGTCCTTATTATCTAACGTCGCAGTAAGTTTTCTCTTCTATTTGTCATTCCTCGTGTTGACAGAGTCGGTGTATTTACATAATTATGTCCCTTCCGATCGATACCTCGTTTCATTCAAATGTAGATCGAAATTACGATGGCCTGAGCAGGAATTCGAAACCCTTGTGGTACCCGCGGACTTAAACCGTATTCGTCAGTCATGAGATGGTCTTTAGCCGCTCCACAAATCTTTCTGCGGGTTTGAAGTACCTTATATACTCGCCAACTTTTCCCTCCAGCCAGCTAAAGTCAACAATGCTACAATAGATCGATCGTATGGGTGATTTTGTAGTACTACATATACTTGATTTTTAATTTTGTTTTCATTTAAGACTAAATCAAAGGAAACTCATAAGTCATATAAACCGATGTGCAGCAAACTGAAATTTTTGTGAAAGCCAAAAGGGTTTATAGAGTTTCTAAAAGTAGTTTAGAATAGGCAGAACCGTTGTAACAAACACGGACAAGTAACATTTTTACGTTATACAATATTGCAGTGTCGACTCCATAGAATGAGATACGGGCACATGTTACGTGAAGTCAGGCGGGGTGCTTTATTCCTAGCATAACTTGCATCGTATCATTTTTCATTTTACCAACAAAATTTATATACTCAAAACCGTACTGGTTGAAGCTTTGCGCGGTTTGTTACCGACGAGTTTATATTGCCTTATAAAATATGCAATTGTATGAATGTTGTTCAATATAATGGATATTGATAACATAGTACTTACATATGCAATATTTGATTCACAAAAAACCTAAATTACTACGGATAAATATCAATGCTACAGATTAATAAGTTTCTTGTTAAATGAAACTATAGACTGAACTGAAAGATAGGGAAAAATATTAATATAAAAACTGACTTGCATAAGTGACTAAAATGTTCTACGAGATCAAAAATTTTTAAAACATTTCTATTCAAAAACGATTATCAAAATCGTCTCACAAATAGTAAAGATAACGCGTTTATGTAGGTGCACAAGGAATGCACATTCGAATTAAGGGTCTCCTTTCCAAAAATTGCAACTTTGTTCAATTTCTTAATATAATAATTATCACAACTATTCAGCTAGTCTAGTATATAAAATAATAACACCTAAATGTCTGGGAACGCCCAAGTCGTCCATTTGGACCATTTTTCACATGGATCCATCACATTAAACAGACTTGCGTTCTGTCCTGTTTTCATCACGTTAAGCGCTTTTAATTTTCAAATGGTTTCAGCAAAAAATATGAGTATATTTTATAGTTAAAATAGAGTGCAGTGACTTTAGGGTTGGAACATTTTTCACTTGGCAAACTCTGTCTGCGTCTCGGGTTGTCAGTTCTAACAAAAGTTTGCACGTTCGGTGGATTTATGTCCCAAATAAAGACTAATCAGCCACCGTATTGATCACTTTTATTTTGGTCCCGTTTGCGGTATCTCTCTTCTCTTTTAGCAGTCTACTACAGTTTTATAAAAGACCTGTCTTTCGACTTTGCAGCTAAAAGGCTAAATTAAAACTTTCTAAAAATTTATTTTATTTTTAGAATTCTTTATTTTTAGAAGTTACGAAATTGATATAATTTAAGAATAGAAATAACATGAAATATATTAACATACTGACAGATTAGTATGAAACAAAAATTTGAGAGATAATACCTTATGTAACACAGACATCCTAGGACTAAGGGTTTTTCAATTTCATTCAATTTCTAATAAATTTTCTGTTGTAACAATTACAAGAGAAAATTTATTAGAAATTGAAAAAAGATAAATCGGAATTCATATTGAAGAGAATTAGATATATCTTCCAAATGAAGACTTTTATATATTATCTACATGGCATGGTTCTTTATGTCCATAGTTCAGTTTAAAAAGGATGAGATGTTGTAACGAAATTTACAATTACATTTATCTCATGCTGAATGCTTAAATACATAATTCGTTTGTCTGAATATGACTGGTACCCACTATGGGCTTACGTTAAATCAATAGACAATAGTTAACAATCTTCATCAACTGTTCGTTGTCCGTTCGTTACAAGTTGTGTAACAAATAAATAATCAATGAGATTTTAAAGTTAATAGCCATTAGTCTAAGGTTGAAGTTTCATTGGTTCATTTGCTTTTCCAGTTGTAGTAGAAATAATATGCAAGGTTTAAACAATTTGAAAACACCAAATATAGTTTTTGATCACTTGATTTCCAATTGTCATTATCAAAAGGAAATAGTCTTGAACAAATTTTACGCCCCGCTATTTCGATAGCTGTATCTCTACATTGATAAATGAGCATTTCGTCAGACTTCCCGCATCCCACTAGTCGCGTAAGTAGGTCACGTACGGTGCATTAGGAAGATGCTTCAATTAACGGGAATTCGCAAAGTGTATCTAAAGATGGCGTATATAATATTATTACTTATGAAATCACAGGTCGAGAATATGTTTTAGATAATAGCAAAGTACTACATATATGGATATATAAAACAACAACAAAAGACAAGAGATAGAACGGTATATTTACGTCACCACTACCAATTAAGGAAAACATAATTCTAAATGTATGATGAACAATTGTATAGGAAAGCTGAAACTACGTAGTACGTGTACTTACGTATTAAATCTCTCGACATTGATCGGTAGACAATGCCTGTCAATATGTCGATTTTCAAGGAAGATCCGGTATGTGCTTACAAAACAAAACCTGAATATTTCGAAAGTGAAGCACACAGATATTTTCCTTTTAATTTACTTACAATCATCACGTTCTACAATTATAAAAGTGTTGATACCATTTACTCCAATAATTAAGTGTGTGTTTTCATCAATCTAGTCAGTCTTCATTTCTTCTTCATTTAGATTCAATGACAACTAAATGTATTTTCCGATAGACACGACGATACACGACATATCAATGGCAACCCAAATCATTAAGAGTGGTAGTATTATATATCTTATAATGCTAATATATGCGTAAGAAGTGCAAATGACAAATTTTATCGTTTAAAAATTCACGATTCACATTACAATAATGAAATTGAAATTTAGAAGTTATTACGAACTTTCCGTTGATTTAACAAAGTTATAATTACATAAATCTTAATTAGTATTTTCCCTGAGTATTAAATGCACATAAATAACGTTGATCCCGCTAGTTATTCATAACTTTACAGAAAATTAAAATGGCTTAAGGAAGGTATTCAGGTCCAATTTCTTGTAGTTTGAATACATGAGTGAAGATTTCATGACGTTTCAAGCTTTGTTTCCGGTTCAGGCAATTTGAACATGTATTTTCTGTAACGTAATCTGGATTTGTGATCATTAATCTGTATGTAGTGGGCATGTTAATTATACAAAATGAAAATCACTAATTGTAATACTAGTGTGATTTCAATGATTCACGTTCCTGTCGTTCTTGTTGAACAAAAACTACAGAAGGTTTTTATTTTAATTACATCAAATCCTTATAAATAGAATTGTTTCCACGTTTTTCCTTCTATTCGTTTACGTTATTTAAAAATGTATCGCACAAAGTTAGAAGTCTCTAATGAGCGAAATAGGTAATTAAATATACTCTTCGGTAATGAAAAATAAATTCGTCTATATAATTCCTTTGTTATATATAGTATACAGTATTGTGTAAATAATGAATAATTATATTCAGATTCCATAGGTACAGATATAGCATTCTAAAACATATTATCTAAATCTAATTTTATTACTCAAAGATTATTTGATTTTATTTCAAAGAAAATTCATGACACATTTCGCTGTAATTGTTTTATCCTTTGAGTATTATCACTCTTTTTATTGCTTTTTAAAAAGTGACAGAGATTATTTTGACGCTCATTATTATAAATATTATGCCTTTCATATACTTAGTAAAATCAAAGACATAATATGGTTTAAATTTAACATATATTGTGAAAATTTTGACAACGTTTGTTAAATATTGTTTTGTAATAATATTCTGTCGAAAATTAGATAGAATATTATCGATTAAAACAATGAAATTAGATAGAATATTATTACACGAGTAATTGGCAACGGAAGATAAACGTTAGATTTGTAAATAAGTATGAATATTCTCATTTAGGCAAATGTTTTCCTTGCGCAGAGATAAACCAGTTACCAACTAATATCGCTTCATCACTAGAATAGTTTTATACAAAACAAACAACCATTCGTAATACAATTAAACGAGTTGACCAAAATCCTGCAGCGTTATTGTTTTGTGAAGAAGTTAATCCGGTCAAACGAATAATAACTCCGTTTCATTTGTTATGGCGGAGTGAACCAATCGCGTAAAACAAATAAAGCGGAGTTTGTGAAGCGAGAATAGACAAAGGATCAGATACAGGTAAATAATCCGCATGAGTTGGGAAGGGGAAGCATTTCTGCTATTATCTAAGGTTGGCTCGAGCAAAAATAGAGTTGTTTACTTAACAGAACGCAACGATAAGCGTTAATAATTCAACGGGTATACTCGTTTCAACGCTATCGATAGAATCTGTTCACGTTTTGATCTCTATTCAGAGTTAACTTATTCCGAATGTCAGCAAGGTAACTCTTTATAAACACGCTATTAATTTGAAACTTACTTTGGTATTGTGCTCTGTTTGAATTTTTTATGCCAATAAATTTATTTTAATTGACCCTTTGACTTTCTTACTAAAATTCTCATTTTTTTTAATTAAAATTATTATTTATAGCTATATTAGGTGCATAAGTGTTAACTGTTAGTAAAGTTAAATTTATTTTCAGAAACTTCATGTAAAACTAACTCAACCTAAGCCACTTACAACCCACAATAAATTAGTAAATCCTTCTTACTTTTTCATTTGAAAGCCGTGGCTATGTTTTTAGTATTACGATATGTATTATGATATGTAAAAATAGTAAAACATTTATTTAATGTATAGTAAAATATTATT